GCCCCCCCCCTCCCCCCCCACCTCACCCCCCCTCCCCCGCCTCTTCACGAATTATTGGTTCAACTTAAAATGAGGGTTCCCACCACGCCCCACCACCCCCCCCTTCTCCCGCCTCCCCACCCTTCCGGGGCCCCCCACACCCCCGCTGGCCTTTTTGCCTGTCCAAAATGGTTGGATCGACTTAAAGAGGGTTGCATGTTCGATCTATCGTGATGAATCCAGGAGCCAGAAGATCCATTTGACTTGTCGCAGAATTAACACACAGCCGGGAGCCCAGTTCGACTTGTATTGAACACGCGCAAGACCCACTGCCACGCACAGAGAACTCAGTTCGACTCATTATGAGGCCTGAAAGGAGCAAGGAACCCAGCGTGACTTATTCCGAAGCTTGTTCAACCGCTTTGCCCCCCACCCCTAGCTGCACCTCCTTCCCGGACCTCCTTACCAACCGTTTCTCTGCGGGAAATGCAGTTCGATTTCTAATGAAAGAAGACACACCCTATTCTAATTACGTATAATGACTATATACTTTCAAGAGACGCAGCCTCGTTCGACTTGTTACGAAGGTTCCCAGAACCAGAACGCCAGAAGATCAGTTTGAATTGTTGCACAATTAACAAACAGCCGGGAGCCCAGTTCGACTTATATTGAACACGCGCAAGACCCACTGGTCACTCTGAGAGTTGCTAGACAAGTCTTCTGCACGTTGCCACGCACAGAGAACTCAGTTCGACTCATTATGAGGCCTGAAAGGAGCCAGGAACCCAGTGTGACTTATTCCGAAGCTCTGAGGATTGCTGGAACGTTCGACTCTTTATGCAGGTTGCCAGGAACCAGGAAAACCCACCCAAATAATTCAACTGCTTTGCCCCCCGCCCCTAGCTGCACCCTTTTCCCGGACCCCATTATCAACCATTTTTCTGCGGGAAATGTAGTTCGACTTCTAATGAAAGAAGACTACTGGCCTTTGTCCTCAGGTCGACTGGTGCGACGGCCATGTCCGAATCTAGCCGACACCCTTGCTTCTCAGGTCGACTGGTGCCACGATGTCCGAAGACATGGACGAGGACTTCCAGGGCACAGACCGCCCCATTCGCGGTTTTGAACAGGCGGACGGTGAGGACGGGTTCGACGATAGGGACTGGGTTGAAAAAGAACTGCACGAAGCTGAGGAAGCTGCGCGTGAGAGAGAAGAAAGTCGCACATTCTTGCAAGCAAGGCATTCACAGCAGTCTTGGCTCAGCAGGAACGCAGGCCACACTTTCTGCCAGTGATCGAAACCTGCAAGATGGATGGTTGCCGTCTTGAATGGAGCCGGTGTTTGGACGGCGGTCCTGGCGCCTGGTCGCTGATTGGCTTGAGCGGCGCTGCGCTTGCCACAGAGACAGCCCCTGGATGGTATATGCCTGCCTTTTGCGTCAGAGGCATGAATAGGCTGGAATGCCGATTTACCCAATGGCATCCAGAAGCACCTCATGTTGCTGTCTTCGAAGCGGAAGAACTGCGCTTTGACAATTGGATCAATCTTCCAGCAGGGAGGGTCTATGTCCGAGAAGTGCCCTCGCCTTTGGTTATTACTTGCAGTTTGATGCCCGCGGATCAAAACACCGTCGACGTCGTGTTCTCCACGGTGGCCGGTGAGGAGGTGCTGCGAATCGCCAGCGTGTCAAGCCATTCGCTGGAGATGGAACTGATGGAACAGCTTCCTACATCCGCTACCATAGCAGCCGCAGCCCAAGGCCGTCTGCAGAGCAGGAACCAAGAAGTGTGCACGGTCTTAGATGGGGAGCCAACCCCATTGGACACGTTGGTCCTCTCCGATGACTTGTGGGACATCGTCACAGCACAGGACACCCAGCAGCCATGAAGACATGCTGCGCAGTGAAGACAACAGGCTGCTGCTCGTGGCCTTGACAAGACTTCGGCTTGTAGAGTCGCCAGGCGCCTGGCGTGAACTCCTAAGTTTGTCTCCGCTCTGTACATCTTTTTTGAGAGCAAACCAAGTCACCACAGATGCATCTGTCACGCAGGAGCCAGAAAAGTAAAGTGGACTGGCAAGGAAAGACAGACAAACTGTTGCACGTGCTAGAGAATGCCTTCTGACATGCGCTTTATTTCACAATCTCCGGTGCACAAACCCATCGCAGCTTTTCAGACACAGCCTGAGTTGCAGATAGAACTGAGCATTTGCCATGGCGCCTTGCCAGCGATGCGGTGTGGGAAACAGGAGCGGTCGGGGACAGGGGTGGTGCAGCGATCCACGCTGCCGCCAAGCCGAGAAAGAAGAGCGCCAAGCAGAAGAAAGCGCTAAGCGAAAAGCTCGGCAACAGGAACGGGCGGCAAAGGGAGGTGGCAGCCGCGGGCCCTTGCCCCCTGAAGGGGTCAGCCGACAAGCGCAGAGGCGTGAGCTGCAAGCCGAACGTGCTGAGCACGGGTTTGCAAGCCGGGGGCCAAAACCAGAGGAGGACAACCGCGAAGCACAGAGGCTTCAGCTGCAAGCCGAACGTGCTGAGCACGGGTTTGCAAGTCGCGGGCCCTTGCCCCCTGAAGGGGTCAGCCGACAAGCGCAGAGGCGTGAGCTGCAAGCCGAACGTGCTGAGCACGGGTTTGCAAGCCGGGGGCCAAAACCAGAGGAGGACAACCGTGAAGCACAGAGGCTTCAGCTGCAAGCCAAACGTGCTGAGCACGGGTTTGCAAGTCGCGGGCCCTTGCCCCCTGAAGGGGTCAGCCGACAAGCGCAGAGGCGTGAGCTGCAAGCCGAACGTGCTGAGGACGGGTTTGCAAGCCGTGGTCCGAAGCCCATTGCAACTGAGATCCAGAAGCAGGGGTACCCGTTTCCTGATGAAGATGAGCTGACGCCTGAACAAGTGGATGCTCACTACCTTGCATTCGTGCGTAGTTGGGGCAGATTCGGGCTGTCGCGTGTTTGCGAGAAGTGTCGGACCCTTACCCCTGCAAAGCACGTCTGCCCGGCCAAAGGAACCAAGCAGATGCTTTGCAAAAGGTGCCGCGAAGATTCTACGAAGATCATCCTGCCAGATGTGCCAACTGCGCCAGAGGCACTCCAGATACTGAGGCCCATGGAGCAGCACCTGATCGCCATGGCTCGGATCTCGCAAGTCCTCATCGACAAACTCCCGTCAGGTGGCCCCAGCGCACAGTGGGGTCGCATGTACACCGTACTCATGGAGGACCCTTTCATCTGTGACGTATTGGAGGGAGCCATACTGGAGGAAGATGGCACAGTCTTCGTCCAAGGAGTTCAAGGCTTGACTGCTTCTCCAGCCCGTCTGGATTGCTTGCACGAAGCTTTGAAGGAACTGAAGGCCCAACACCGCTTGTACAAAGCCAATCCAGCCGTGGACAGAGCCATAGCCAAAATGGCCACCATCCTGGATGTCCAATTGGCGCAGCCTGATGCGGTCGACGAGCGTTTGAGTCAGCAAACAGCTTCCCAAGGGCGCCAAACGGGGGAGTCCGGTGGCTCACACTCCTCGGCCTTGGGAAGCCAAAGTCACGGTATCCTGCGAGAGAAGGAAGAAGATCTCGAGATGACATACCTTTTGCCCAAAGAGTTGAAGATCCCTGGAGCCGAGACAAGGCAGTTACAAAAGGCCCGAGGTTGCGCGGCGCTCACCGACGACATGGATGTCAAGCTCTTCCCGCACTTGTTTCCCACGGGAACAGGCGGATGGCAAAGCATGTACCCAAGCTTCTCACAGTATGCACGCAAGCGCTTGCTGAGCCAGGATCCACGCTTCGAGGCATCCCCAGCCTACACCATGTGGCTCCTGGAGACGCAAACCAAGAAGCGCCTTTCAGGCAACATCAATGTGCAGATCAGCGGCCAGCAGGCTCCAAGCAGAAAGACGATGTACGAACGTGGCAACAACCAGGTCTACACAGCCCTCAGGGACATCCCCGGTACTCAGCCCTACATCTACGCAAAGAAGGGCGTCGCGCTCAGCATGTACGAGCAGCTCGGAACACCCAACTTCTTCATGACCCTCACTTGCCATGCTCGGCAGCCCGACATCCTTGTTGCGGCCATCACAGGGCGGCTGCTGCGGCTGCGTCCTGAAACGCCTCCGGAAGAGCTGGAGCGTCAAGCTGCTGAAATCCTGCGCTGCTACCAGTCTGACGAGCAATTCAAGTGGGACGATCTGTCGCCAAACCAGCTGTGCAACCAACAGCCGGCGATCGTGGCACGACAGTTCATGCACCAGCTCAACCAACTCATGGCATGGCTGGAGGCCGAGCATGACACAGAGTCCCATCTGGAGCAGGAAGCAGACGAGCAGGACGAGCCGGAGGGCGGCCACCGCAAAGAGCCTGCAGACTTTGCGCAAGCGCCAACGAGAGATTCAGCGGGCCGACACCGCGGCGTTCGCACGGAGCGCCCACCATTCAAGATCCGAGACTACATCATCCGCATCGAGTGGCAGAAGAGGGGCTACCCTCACGCTCACATTCTGCTTTGGGCAGTGGAATGGCCACGACGAACAAGCGCAGTCAGCTCCAGAGACGCTGAGAAGACAGCGGAAGCAGAAGCGATAGTTCCGGATTGGTCGGATGAAGAGGCCATGGAGTCTTTCACGCCCACTTGCGCAGAAGACTGGAGTGACAAGTACATCTGCACGAAGTCACCAGAAAGCTGGCGCAAATCCACGAAAGTTTCACCCCGCAACAAGGAGCTAAATGCCCAGCTGGCGGAGCTAGTGCGGCACAAGCACAGTGAATATTGCGGCATCAAGACGTATGGCTCTTGCAGGTTTGGCTTTCCACACAATGAAATCGAAGAGCGAACTCGACGCCGCACCTCCCAGGAGAAGTATGCCAACAGCCGCTGGAAAAGCAGCCTCGTGGTCAGGCGGGCCCAGGGGGACAACATGTTCGGGCAATACAACATCAAGATCCTGCGACGGTGGCGTGCCAGCATGGACCTCCAAGTCATATGCGAACTGACCAGTGCCAGTCGTTACATCCTGGGCTACTCCTTTAAATCGGAACAAGATCTCGCGGCCCAGCGGCGCATGGAGAGTATACTGGCCAGCCTCGCCTCCAGCCGCAATGATCATGGTGGCACCAGCTTGGGCAGCCAGCAGGTGTACAAAGCCGCGCACGCAGCGCTGCAGGGCCGGACCACGTCCACCTTCGAGGCCTGCCACTTGCTGCTAGGCTTTCCCATCGTTGAGTTCTCCAGGGAGCACATTTGGGTTCAAGTCGGACCACCCGATACCTGGACGTTGTCCGTGCCCCAGCACGAAGAGAGCCTGGCGCTACAACAGCCGGAGAGCTACCGCAACAGCAAGCTCGACAGGGATGGACGCATGCCGGCTGCGCAGCGCTGGTACAGGGAGATGCAAGTCGCTTTCGGCAACATCGAAGTGGAGTTGCCTGTGGAAGGAGGCAAGCCTGCAACATGCCGCCTCATGAACATGAACTTCTTGGATTTCTGCGCAGCTTTCAAGTTCATCGGCGTGGAATTCCCTCAGCTCAGAAAGCGTCCGGCCATCGTCGGATACCGGAATTTCAGCCCTGACCAGGAACCGGAGGCCTTCTGGTTCTCCAGGCTGCTGCTCTACTCCGTTTGGACGGAACCAGGCGACTGGCTGCAAGAAGAGGACAAAGGTAGCCACGCAGCAGCCTTCCAGCGCATCGCCCGCGACTTGGATGGGTACCCAGATTTCCTGCGGTCGAAATGCTTCCCGCAAATGGACGGGACAGTGAACGCCGCTCGCAAGCTGCAGGCCGTCCAGGCCGTCATGTACATGAAGGCGAGGATGCACCCTGCGCACTTGCGAGATGGGTGGGCCAACAGCAAGATCGCGCAGGACAACTACGAGGACTCCATCCAGATTTTAGAGGCACTGAAGGCACGTCACGGGGACGACATCGAATTTGCGGCTCCAGACCATGTTCCGACAGGAGCACCTGGAGATGCCTTTGCGCCGGTGGAAGGTGGCGAGGAATCCTTCAACATGCTCACTGCTGCGGAGAACCCCAGCCCAGAAACACAGCATCAACGAAGAGCCATGGAATACATCTTCGAGACGGTGTGGGCCCGCCGCAACACCAATGACACCAACAATACTGACCGCCTCCACATGCTCCTCCACGGACCGGGCGGCTGTGGGAAGTCCGTGGTGGTGCGCGCAGCAGCCCACATGCTTCGGGAGGCGGGAGTGGGAACCATCATTGCTGCGCCCACAGGGGTGGCAGCATGGAACATCAACGGCGTCACTCTCCACACTTGCTGCTTGCTTCCCGTCGTGAACCAGAGCTACGGAAGGGCCTGCGACGTGCCGCTACCAAATGGCCCCATACTGGCCACGCTGCGAAGCATCTGGAAGCTGGTGGCGGCCCTCTTCGTGGACGAGATGGGCTTCATATCGTCCTTTATGTTGGAGCGCCTGGATCAGCATCTGCGGTTGGCTAAGAACATGCCGCACGTTCCCTTCGGAGGAGTGCATGTCGTGTTCTCTGGAGACCTTTATCAGCTGCCACCGCCGGGCGGGCTGCCGGCCTTTGCCAGCTCACTGTGGACACTGCTTCAGCTTTGCGAGCTAGAAGGCAATCAACGTGCAGCAAAGGACCCGAAGTGGGCAGCTCTTCTCGCACGAGTTCGTGTCGGCACGTGGACGGAAGAGGACATTCAGGAGCTGCAAGGCATGGTTCCGAACAAGAACGACAGCAGGCCTTCTCCAAAGGCCGTGTGTCTGTACCCGACGCGCAAAGCCGTGGCGGAGAAGAATCGCCACTACATCGAGGAGCATGTCAAAAGGACCGGCGTCAAGCTCTACCAAAGTCCTGCCCTAGACACGAATGTCAAAACTGGTGCGCCGCTGTCTCCCGAAGTGGTGTGGGCTGATCCAGAGAACACGGCCGGCTTGGAAACCTTGCTGCACCTTGCTGTCGGTGTCCGCGTGATGCTCAGGTACAACCTCGACACGCAAGACGGCCTGGTCAACGGAGCCTGCGGCTTTGTTGAGCATATTGATGCAGACGAAACCACTGGAGAGATCGAAAAGGTGTGGATCGAATTCGAGAAGAAGGCTGGTGCCAAGTGGCGCGCAGAGAACGAAACCAGCTTCGTTGCCATCTCGCGACGGTCCGCCACCTATCTGGACATGGAAGGCAGCAAGGCCTCAAGGTTGCAATTTCCCTTGGTGCTAGCGAAGGCCACCACCATTCACAAAAGTCAGGCGGCCACGTTGCAGGATGGCGCCCACTCCCGCCTCGATGCCACCTGCAAGCAGGAGGGGCAAGCGTACGTGGCTCTGAGCCGCTGCCCCGAGCAAGCCCTTTGCACCCTGGAATTCTTCAATCCCAAGTCCCTGCGATTCAACTCAAAGGCGGAATGGGCACTCACCCAACTGAAGGCCCAGCAAGCCGAGCGGGACGGAACCCAACTGTGGAAGCAACTCTTCCAGCCGCCGCAGAGCAAGGACTTCTATGAGGCCAAGCTTGCCGAGATGGGCGCTCCAGATTGGGCTCAGCTGATGAAACGTAAGGAAGAAGAGGAGCATGCAGACGGTGAACTTCCTTGGTGCTGCCGACAGTGCGGACAAGAACTCCCAAACACCAAACTTGCCATCAAGGAACACAAGCAGAAGTGCCCGTCCAAACCCAAAGCAAAAGCTAAGGGCAGCGCAAAGGCGAAAAGCAAGGGCAAGGGAGGGTGCAAAGGCCGCACCAAGAGCGTTGCCAAAGCCAAGAGCAGATCCAGCGCCAAAAGCAGAATCCTGCTCCTCGGTGTCCCCGACAAAAGGCCAGCAGCCGATTCGGCGCCAAACGCCCCATCAGCAAAGCATGCGCGGACGAGCAATAAGCCCGCAGCCCCGCTGCCGTCCCCGCAAAGCAACCTCCCATATTTCGAGCGCCAGGATCGTGCTCTCTGCGGCATGCATGCCTTGAATAACGCCTTGGGCGGGGCCGTCTTCACCGAAACCGACATGAAGGAAGCCGTGCAAATCCTTCTCCAGGAGGGCGGAGAGGAGCGAGGTGAAGTCGCCCAGGACCACATGGCCGCAGACGGCTACTACTCCTCCGAGGTTCTGGCCCAAGTTATTCAA